TGCTGTCCACATGTGCCCACATGTGAAGACAAAGATACACTAGGAAAATGCCATGTGAACAGTGGAAATTGGAGTCTTGTAGCAGAATGCCGAGTAATGTTAAGGACCCATGGTCATCACCAGAAGCTAGAAAGAGGCAAGGAAAGATTCTGTGCAAAGACTCAGAGAGATCATGGCCAATACCTTGATCTCAGACCTGTATTCTCTAGAGCTGTGAAAGAATAAATTTCTTTTGTTTTAAGCCGACCAGTTTGTGGTATTTTGTTACAACGGACTCAAAAAATTAATATTCCCACCATGCTCTGTTGCTGCTCATACCAGGTATCTGCGCTTCATCTAGATCTCTGCCTTACTTTCCTCCCCTAGGCGCCCTTACCAACCATCCTCAATCTGCAGTCCACAGCCATCCTCTGTTGCATGGTCCCCACTACCCTGGGCTGAAGCCATGCTACTTGCACCTCTGTGGTTTCACAAATGTTGTTCCCTTTTACCTTTGCAAGCTTTTTCCATTTTCTTTTCTCATATTGGAATAAATGATACTAGGTAATTTATAAAGGAAAAAGTTATTTAGTTCATGATTCTGGAGGCCAACAGGCCAAAATTGGGCAGCTGCATCTGGTGAGGACCACATGCTGCATCATAACACGGAAAAGAGAAGTCAGTGGGCACAAGAAGAGGAGGCAAAACATCAGGGACAGCCTCTTTACAATAACCCACACCTACAAGAACTGACCTAGTCGCCTAAGAGCATCATTTATCCATTCACAAGGGCAGTGTCCTTACAACCTAATCATACCTAAAAGGTCTCACCTCTTCTCAGCACTATTACACTGGGGACCAAATTTCAACATGAGCTTTGGATGGAGGGGAAGCCATGTTCAAACCATAGCACAGACCTAACATTGTTCTGTTTTCAAAATAAATGCCGACATCCAGTCCCTAGGTTCATCTTGGGCCTCTGGGCTCCCACATCTGCCTGGACTTCCTCATCTTGGCTCAGCTTACCCATGATGCAACTGTTGATTTACATATCTGCAAGCCTTTGGGGGTGGGATCCTTCAGGAAAGGGACCAGGTCATATTGATACAATTGGCCTCCAGTGCCCAGGCCAGTACCTAGCACATGGTAGGTTTTTAATAAATGTTGAAAGAAAGAAGGAAGGAAGAGAGGGAAGAATGGAGGAAGGAAAAAAGGAAACAGGAAGGAAGGAAAGAGGAAGGGAAAAGGGAAAGGGTGGAGAGAAAGGAAATAGACAAGGAGGGGAAAAGGGAGGTATTTCCACCCTGAGGGCCTTTCAGAACATCTTCATAACTGACCAGTGTCTCACATTCCTGGGAAATGTAACACGTTGGCTAGTGCAGGAATGAGTTCACTGGTTGAAAACCCATGGTCGCTGGGATGGGACACATGTCAGGCAGTTTTGATAGACATGGATAAGAGGCAGGGAGCTTGGGTGATGCCTGCTCTGGGGAATAGACAGGACACAGGTAGGTCAGGAACCACCTGGGGCATCAGATCTGTGTTTCCTCTGGTTAAGGAAACCAAAAACAGAGTGGTAGTCCTTCCCAGCTCCCCTTGCCAACCCATCTTCGTAAGCTCTATTGACCACTTACTGTGTACAATGCATCACAGTGGTTCCTGGGGTGGGCATATGTAGACTCTCAAGGAACCCAATGGGCAACTGGTGACCTGATTACAATAGCTGGACAGATGGAAAATGACAGTGGGTTGTGGGATTTCATTTCCCAGCAAATAAGACAAATGGGAAAGATGTTGCATTTGAAAAAGGCCTTGAGGCAGGCAGCATTTGGGATGCAGGCTGTTGCAAGGAAGGGCCTTCCAGGAGACAGAATAACATGGGAAGGGAAAGGAAGGGAAGGGGAGGAGAGGAGAGGGGAGGGAAAAGTGAAAAGGCTTCCAGAGAGAAGAGCAGGAGAAATCATCTCAGGAAGGATTCAAAAGGACCTTTAAGTCCAGGCTAAGGAATTTTCTGTTTCTTTTGAAGGTAGCAAGGAGCCATGGCAGGCTTTGGAGAAGAGGAGAGATGTACTCAGAAGCCAGCTTCAAGAATTTAGGCCATCATTCCATTGTTATGGTGGAGCTGATAGGTATGCTCAGTTCAAATGGTGTGGTTGGACCCAGCGTCAGTGGTCCAAAAGGAGTACTGGATTTTTAAAATTATTTATTTACTTGCTGTACATGCTTAAAAATGCTGAGAGTAATGTTGAACTTAAGGATTTAGATGTAAATTCTTTGGTCATAGAACAGATACAGGTGTAAGCAAAGCACCCAAGATGTGCTGCTGTACTTAAGAAGCCCATGGTCAGATTAATCCCCTGCCACAGTAAGATGTCCTTACTAAAAAATTAAATTAAATTAAATTAAACCAAATTGCTGTAAACCAAAAGAAGTTCACAGAAGAAATATATATCCCAGAAGAAATGTAAGAAACAAAAACTTGAAGCATAAGAACTAATTCTGCATTAAATGAATGTACATAAAAGAAAAGGAAAAAAAAAAAGGTGGGTTAGAGGTGCTGGGGGCAGGGACACAAAGGTAAAAGATCAGAACTCGGGCCAGGGCAGGAGCAGGAGAAAGTCCCTGAATTTGTCCCTTATGGTTAAAGCACAAGCCTGTGGGTGTGTTGGATGCTAGGTAGGCCCTGTCCTGCAAGGGAGGCGGATTCTCCTCTGTATGTTTGCTTTGCCTGATGCCAAGCACATGGGATATAGTGTCCTAAGTAAGTGCCAGGTTCAGACAATCCTGTTGTCATTCAAGTGCTGTAGGTCCTCAGGCCTGCTGCTTCCTCTTCTAGGCTCTGTTAGATAGGGAGAAATAGGCTGGAGCTCATAAAGACCATGAAGTCTTTGACCTTGAACTTGACATGGAGCCCACCAAATGATCCCTGCCCTGCCTGTATGTCTGCATCCTCCCAACTGTGCTGTTTCCCAGATGCAGCATTTACTTTTCTCTGCCCAAGGCCCTTCTCCAGCCTTCAGAGTCCAGCAGGCCCAAAGTGACATCCCTGGGGGCAACTCTGAACCCAGGACTGTCCAAAGTCGCTGCACGAATACCCCAGCTCCTTCAGCTCCCTCCCACCTCAAGTGGGAAAGTTCTGAGGGGCATGTTCCACAGTGTCTCCTGGAATCCCCCACTGGGAATGAGTTCTTGACTCTCTTACTAACCCTCCCTGTACAGCCAGCTCACTCCCCTACTTCTGTTTCCCAGATAACCCTGCCCTGGACCCTTTGTCTCAGGTTCTGCCTCTTGGCTACCCAGACTAAGACAAGTACCTACTGTATGCCAGGCCCTGGAAACACAGCATGATCTCATGGGTGGTGGGGACAGTTGTAGAGTCATGAGTGAGCTATGCCATTCACATAGACCAGACACACTTATGTCTTTTCACATCTTTTTGAACTGTCAGAATTTATAGAATAACAAATTCACAAGCCACTTCAATTTGGCCAGCTTTAATTCACTGAAAATACTCATGGTTCATTTGGTGCCATGCCTGCGGCAATCACAAGCTCTTTGTTTCCATTCCAATCTTTATTACTAATATCTACAGGATGTAAGTCACACATCACACTTTACACAATTATATGTAAGTTACAAAAGGCTAAGAAAGGGGCCTGAGGGTTTCAAGAGGCCACACTGAAAACAAAGGCAGAGAGCAGATACAAATGGAAAAGAACCACCACAGGTGGTCAGATAAGTTTAGGAACCAGAGAACCTGTTCAGGGTACCAATCTATTCAGGATGGAAGAGCTGTTCAGGAAAGATCCACATGGTAGTTGCTATAGAGTCCGGAGTTCATTGCTTTGTCAACCTCCTGGCAGAATTCACTGGATGGTCTGTTGAGATGACAGGTCAGTGTGTGCCACCTTACCACTCTCTTAAGTGTCTCCCCTTTTATGTGTTCCAGGTGAGGGGATTACATCTGGTGTGTCTGATAAGCTTACAGACATGGTTTGGGTTTCATATGCCCATATATCCATCTGCTTCTAATTTAATTCAGTAAGTTCACAAGTCATCATTTTATCAGCACAATTAATTTATCAGCTTGTGCCTTATGATTATCCTGTGCAGTTTGAGGTTATTCTTTTCAATAAGCTCTAAATGCCCAACATCTAGTGGTTACCCATTTGTCTAGACAAGTCGCCAAGTCATTCTGTCTTAGCACTTGTACTCAAAATGGAGGAGCTCAGGGTGAACTACTGCTTTATAAAATGAAATAACTTAGAGCTAGGCACTGCTGTTCTATACAGCATGGAGTAATTGCAAGCAAGGCATAACCTGTTCTGTTCTCTGCCTATAAATGAGTCCTCCCCACCCACTCCCTCACCCCTTATCCTTTACCCTGGTTCCCAGGTCTGGTGTGGCTCAATTCACAGTTATACACACATATGCTGGGCCTGGAAATTCTCTTTCTCAACCTTGAAGCCACATGCCCCAAGAGCAGTTGCTCTGGACACAGATGATAAATGGAGCCTGGGATATGATCACAAGTGATTTCCATTTTGTCTGTGGTGAGAAGTGGTCTTCCTTGGCTCAAGGAGGCATCTGATGGGACCATAGGAGTAGAAGGTAAGGAACTGAGAGGCAGGGTGGAGGACAGCCTCCATGTGGGTGCCAGCCTCCATGTGGGTGCCAGCCTCCATGTGGGTGCCAACAGTAGTGTCAGTTTCAACATGACCACATCAATGCTGTGAGGCAAGCAACACTTACACTGTCACCATTTTACAAATGAGGTTTTGAATCCGAGCCAGTCTGAGTTCAAGGGCCAGTGTCTCAGGCATCCAGCAAAGAATGAGCCCTGCCAGTCACATCAAGGTAAGAACTATAGGTCCAATAAGAAGGGGCAGGTCTTCTGGACAGAGATAATTGTGAGTGGAGCTGCCAGCTGGGCAAAAGGCAGGCAGTCTGGATGGAACCACAGAGGATGGCCTGAACCCAGGAGCACTGAGCTGGATCCCACCCCTGATACCATAAGCAGCATGAGTAGACAAGTGGGTGACCTGAGCCCATCCCAGGAGAAGTCACTGGCTCAGGTGAGGGGGCAGAGGGAGTGGGAGAGAGTTCTACACCAGCTTCGGTTTTTTCTTCTGCCCCACAAGGGAAAGGACCCAAGGCCCTTGAAGTTCCTCAGGGCTCTGGGTCTCTTTCCAACCCTTAGGATCTTGGTGGCCAGAAGCTACACCAGCCCTAGCCAGTAGAGATATACTGTGAACCCAGTATAGTTAAATTATTACCACTTCAACAAGTAGTCAGTGTAAGATTCATTGTGAATTTTTGTTTTTGTTTTTACTAAGTTTTTGAAATCTTGTATTTTATACTCATAGACCTCAACTCAGACTAGCCATGTTTTAAGCATATATGGCTATTATAGTGGACAACACAGGTGAGGGCTGCAGGCCCTATGAGGAGAGGCTGGCATGGCACGTTACATCCTCAGCTACAACCCAAGAGGAAGCATGAACAAAGTACATTTTCCTCTCTATCCTGGGGAGAGTCCCTCAGAGGTTCTCAAGGTCTTTTCTTACATGGCTGTAGGGATCACACACTTCCATGGGCACAGGAGGCCCCAATTCTGCCCTCAAAATTTCAACATTGAGAAAGTGATATTTTGCCCTAGCCAGGAATGAATCCTCTTACAAGACCACTGAAATCAGTGGAGCATGCCTATAATCCCAGTGGCTCGGGAGGCTGAGGCAGGAGAATCACAAGTTCAAAGCCAGCCTCAGCAATTTAGTGAGACCCTAAGTAACTCAGCAAGACCCTGTCTCTAAATATAATATAAAAAAGGTCTGAGGATGTGATCAGTGGTTAAGCACCCCTGGGTTCAATCCCCTGTACCAAAAATAAAACAACAACCAAAACAAAACAAAACAAAAAACTCATTGGGGTCAAGAATAGATCAAAGAAATGCTCATTTTGGTTAAGCATTTAAGCCTCAGTTTCCTCACTTAGGGAATAGATACAATAGCAGTTCATGTCAGGATTAGTTTATCTCAGAGCTAAACACTCCTTCATGATACTGAAGACAAAAGTTATCAGCTCATTTCAGGTGGGAGACCTGGAGGAGGTTCAGTTTCTCTTTGAAGGCCAAAGAGATAGATACTCAGAAATAGAGAAAGTGACTCAGGCAAGGCCACACTGGGGAAGCTGGCTCTGTCCAGTGCTCTTTCACCTTCCAGATTCATCAGTGTTAAAGGCTGACTTTAGCCATAGTACAGCCAGCAGCATCCATCCAAGAGCAGCACCTCAGCCCTCAGATCCTGTCTGGTGGATGCAGGGCCAGCTGAACTGCCCTGAGCAACTCCTGGGGACCGACTGAGAAGGACTCTCTCCCAGGATGTGCCAAGTCATTCCTTACTTGGGCCTAGATGATGGGCTCTAATCCAAATTCATCCTTAGCCTGCTGGCTCTGCCACTCACTGGCCAGGTCACACTGGGCAAACTGCTCAATCTCTATAGTTAATACTTCTTGCAGCTACTGTGCCACCTGATCTGGCCTGGGAGCTCCTTGATGATAAAGATCAGGTCCCTGAAACAGGCTGTTCCCTATCCTCACATCCCTGAAGGAAAAGTCAGGCTCATGGATCCTTTCCACCTTTAATCCACATGTAATCCTCTCTGAGGGTTTGAGCAGCTAGTTGATTATTATCCCATTTTCCATAGAGAGAAAAAGAATTGCCACAGCTTATCCCAGGTCCTGGCTCTCCCAGCCTTGGTGTGTCATCTTCACTCAGGGGCCAGCAAACCCAACAGGCCTGAGGGTGGCTCGCCAGCCCCCTGAAGGCATCGGGGGCACCGTGGAAACTCTTTGATCCCAGTCTTCTTCCCGATCTGTCTGACCAAAGTTTCAGGTCAATGTCCAGGATGTGCTATCTGCCTTGCCCAATGCTGATGACTCCTTCCTCCTGCACTGGCTCCGAGGTGAGGATAGAGGATGCAGTGGGATGAGAGTCAGGGGCATGTGAAAGGTATCTGTTGCTGGGTAACAAATTACAGTCATCTTTCTGTTTCCACAAGATTGGTTCCAGGACCTCCTGAAGATATCAAAACCCATGGGTGTTCAAGTCCTTCACATAAAATGGCATAGTATTTGCATATAGCCTACTCACCTCTTCCTATATACTTTACATCATTTGTAGATGACTTATGTTACCTAATAAAAATGCAAATGCTATGTGAATGTTTTATTATACTGAGTTATTTAGGGAATAATGACAAGAAAAAAGTTTGTACATCCTCCATGTAGACACAATTTATGTTTTTTCTTCTGTAGCTATTTATTGAATGGATGTAGATAGAACCCAAGGCTAGAGTGAGCTGCTGTACTCCAAAACAGAGCTGTTTTAAACATCTAGGAACATTTATTATCTCCCAGTTTCTGTGGCCAGGATTTATGGGGAGGCTTAGCTGGGAGGTTCTGGTATAGTCTATCATGAGGTTGCAGACAAAATGTTGCTCAAGGCTGCTGTCAAGTGAGGGTTTGATGGGGCTGGATGATCTGCTTCCAAGATGTCTTACATGTCTGGCTAGTCAGTGCTGGCTGTTGGCAGGAGGCCTCAGTTCCTCCTCACAGGAGCCTTTCCAGAAGACAGCTTGAATATCTGTAGAACAGAGCTGCTGGCTTTCCCACAGTGAATGATTCGAGAGAATGAGGAAAAAATGTCTTTGTGATCCCAATGATAACACCATTATGATCATACTCCATAATTTCTGCAGTATCCTATTGGTTATGCAGCTCAGCACTGCTCAGTGTGGGAGGGATCTAAACAGACATGAATACCAGGAGGTGAGGACTACTAACAGCCATCTTGGAGGTGGCTCCCTCAAGGAATAGTATTATTTAACTGCCATATTCATAGCACTAATTCTGTACTAGGAACTGGATAAAGCAATTTTAATTTATTTTTTCCTCCTTTATTTCCTCTTTCTTCTTCTTCCACAGCAGCCCAATGAGGTAGAGATTATTATTAGCCTCATTTTTTTTTGATTGGAGGAAACAGAAGTTCAGAGCAATTAAGCTATTTGACGAATTTCACCATGCTTGCAAGTGGCAAATCCACGTCAGTCTGATTTTAGAGGCTGTCATGTTCACAGCCCAGTTGTGCCAGGAAAGGGTGATAGATTGGTGAGATACCAAAGAAAATACCCAGAGATGGTATGAGGCATAAGGCTTTACTGAGAAATACTTATGAGGAAGGTCCAGGGGTTGTAGTCTGAACACATAACACCTCCATCCCTCAAGGTGTTTTGCCAAGCAGTGCCTCCTCTCCCTCATTGCATTTTGTCCAGTGGTGGCCTGCTGGATGAGTGACATGTTTCCTTTCCACAGTGCCCTCAGTTTCACACCAGTCTCTGCTGAGAGGACAATTTTATAAGTTAGGCAACAGAGACAGTTTGTTTATATGATCAGTATCCCAAGGACCAACTGTTCTGGTGTACATGTAAAAATGACTTTTCTACAGATAACATTAGCTTGCCCTTTCCCCCAGTGTATATGGGAGAAAGACAGTATCCTTCAAGATAATATGTATCTGGATATTCTGGTCCAAGCTTACTCTCATTGTTCTCTTAACTTGGCTAAGTTTTGGAGATCAGAAAGGGGACATTCAGGGATATAGGATATGGGTGTTTTTTTTTTTTTTTACTATTACTCTTTTCTTTAAAGGTAATACAGATGCCAATCACTTAATATCTTCTCAGAGAATGAGTTTGGGGAAGAATTTGCATTTGAGATAAATGTTGGAATCCCAGAATCCAAACGCACAGACAGGAGATCCTTTTATTCTGTGGCTCTGAGAATGTAGCTGTAACTCCCACACAGACTCCTTCTTGATAGAAAGTAAGGTCAGAATTGTTTTCAGGGTCTGTGAGGAAATCATTCTAAACCATGTTAATTATCATGCCTACTCCAACTATTGCAGATTACATAGGGATTCAAATCACTGAATGACAGAGAAAACCTAGTAGGTGATGAATTGTCTTCATAAAATCAGTGAGGGCAACTTGCCTCTGAGCCTGGTGTATTGTTTTATAAGTCATGATACTTTAACCAACAGGATTCCCAGCTCAAGGTCTTCACGAAGGCAGTTTTCTTTACCTAGAATTCCTTTCAAACTTGTGTTTGTCCCTTTCCTCTTACTTGAATGAAATACCAGAGACCAAGTAGCTGATAAAGAAGTGAGGCTTATTTATCTCACAGTTTGAAATTGAAAGTCCCAAATCAGGTGGCCCTATCAATTTGATCTCTGGTGAGGAACCTCTTGAATGAGTCATGTCACAGTGGGTGGCACTATGGTGGGAATATATGCAAAGGGAGAGATCACATAAGAGACAGGAAGCCAGAGCAAGATTCAGAGAGGATCTTGTTCTTTTACAACATCCCTTTCACAAGAACTAATTGGAGTCCCATGAGAACTTAAATCCTTTCCAAGGATGATACCCCCAATAATTTCCCAGTAGGCTCTACCTCTAGAAGTTTCTACCACCTCTTAACATCATTATATAGGAGACCCAATCTTCCAACACATGAACCCTTGGGAGACAAACCACATCTAAACCACAGAAAAATGGGCTACCAAATCAGAAAAGAATCCCAACTGGAGTCCCAAAGACTGGGTCTAATCACACCTGTGTCTTTTACTAACTGCATAGGACTTGAGACAGATGGCCTCCTTTTATTGGGTCTCAGTTTTCTCATCTCTTTACAAGAAAATAGAGTCTATCTCCTACTCAGCTTTCAGGGTTGTCTTGAGGCCCAAATGAAGTCAAAATGGGAACCAGCCTAAGGTACAAGGGACCAAGTGAAACCACTTGGTTCTCACCAGCCAAGGACACTTAATAGAAATGCTGTTGAATCAGGTTGGAAGTGGAATGAGCCAAGAAGGATAAGTTGACTCTAAGAGAAAGAGAGCTGGGAACTGGCCCAGACAGCTGTTTTCCCAATAAACAGATGAGGAAACTGAGTTCCAATGGAAGGAGGCCACCTGCTCCAGGTCCTATACAGGTCTTCATGACTCTAATCAGGATTCTTTTCTGATTTGATGGAAGTTTTGCTATGGTTTGTCCCCCAAGAGTCCATGTGTTGAAAACCTTCTCAGCCTGCAGAACCTGCTGGGACCTAACTCTCATTTGTTTATAACATCCCCAGATAGTTTTCTGATTATAAAACCAGGACATATTTATCAGGGAAAATCTGGAAGGTCTGGCAAAAGGGGCTATCCAAATCACTCATAATCCCGCCATGGTCATGAGGTAAATTTACATGTAACATTTTTTTTAAAGTACCATCAAATTAATACACTCTATATTGTTTTGTTCGATGATGATGATGATGATAATGATGATGATGATGATGATTTTGCATTTCTGGGGCTTCAAACCAGGAGTGTGAGCTACCACTTAGTTACATCCCAAGCTTTTTTGTTGGGGGGGTTACCAGGTATTGAACCTAGGGACACTTAACCACTGAGCCACATACCCAGCCCTTTTTATTTTTTATTTTTTTAAATATTTATTTTTTTGTTGTGGTTAGACACAATACCCTTATTTATTTATTTATTTTTATGTGATGCTGAGGATCGAACCCAGGGCCTCACATGTTCTAGGTGAGTGCTCTACCGCTAAGCCACAACCCCAGCCCCCCAGCCCTTTTTATATTTTATTTTGAGACAGCATCTCACAAAGTTGCTTAGGTCCTTGCTAAGTTGCTGAGGCTGGCTTTGAACTCAAGATCCTCCTGCCTCAGCCTCCCAAGCCACTGGGATTACAGGCATCTGCCACCATGCCTGGCATCCCAAGCCCTTTTTATTTTTATTTTTTGTATTTTTGGTTCCAGGGTTTGAATTCAGGGGCACTTAACCACTGAGCCACATCCCAGCCCTTTTTTGTGTTTTATTTAGAGATGGGGTCTCTCTGAGTCACTTAGTGCCTGCTAAATTTCTGAGGCTGGCTTCAAACTCACTATCTTTGTGTCTCAGCCTTCTGAGCCACTGGGCTTACACATGTGTGCCACCATGCCTAACTTATTTTTTATTTAGAGACAGGGTCTCATTAAGTTGTCCAGGCTCGTCTCAAACTTGCGATCCTCCTGCCTCAGCCTCCTGAGTCATTGGGATTACAAGTGTGCATCACCACACCAGGCTGTTCACCTATTATTTTGAGAACATTACCCCAAGTCACTGAAATTTTTCTTCTTCCTCAGTGTTGTTGTATGACTGCAGAATGTTCTGAAAAGTGACTCTATATGGTTGATTTAAAAGACCCCCACTTGGCAGCCCTTGATTCTCAGCAAGACAAAGTTGGCCTCATCTGCTCCATGGACCAGTTGAATTACATATTTAAATATTGAAGAGTGACTAGTTGCTACAGTCTTGATTCAGAATGTCCCCCAAAGACCCATGTGTTAAAGGGTTAGACCTCAGCTTGGTGCTACTGGCAGGTAGTGGAACCCTTAAGAGGTGGGGCCTTGTGGGAGGTCCTCTGGTCCTTGGGCACATGGCCCACTCCTTTTCTCTTTTGCTTCCTGGTCATGAGGAGAGCAGTTTTGCTTCTCTATCTGCTTCTGCCTGATGTGCTGCCCTCCTACCAAAGGCCTAAAAACAATAGGTCTGCCTTATCACGGAGGGTAACCTCCAAGACTGTGAGCCAAAATAAACGTTTTCTCTTTATAAGTTGATTATCTCAGGGACTTGTTAAAGTAATAGAAAGCTGAGTCACACTGACAGTGAAAAGCACTATTATTATTTTTTTTTAAATTTAAATTACAGTAGAACTTTCTGAACATAGTCACATCATAAAAATCTATATATTAATTCATCTTATCGTTTCTAATAGTCATATAGTATTTTACAGTATAGAGGGACCCTCCATTTATTTAACCAGTTCCCTAGAGCTGGACATTCAGGTTGTTTCCATTTTTTTTT